GGCCAAGGCTGAGCCCATCAGGAGCAACAGGAACAGCTCTGGGATAACAGATTTAGGGACAGAAGGACTCACAGGAGAGGTCCATCCAGGGCTGTCTCCCATGGGAGGGACCCCACGGGAGCAGGGAAGGATCCAACTCCTCTCCCTGAGCAGTGACAGAAACAACAACTGACTGTAACCCCCATTGCCGTCCCCCTGCACTGCTGGGGGGAGGAGGGAGAACGTAGAAGGATGGATGTGGGGAAGTTGTTTTTCAGACTGTTTTATTTCTCACTCTTTGGCTTTTCTCCTGTCAGTAATAAATTTAAGTACTATCCCTACTTTGAGTCTGGTTTGCCCTTTAGGAAGCGACTTTCTCCCCACCCTTATCTCTACTCAGGAATCCTCAGCTGGTTTTTTTCTCTCCTCTGTGGAGTTGCAGAGGGAGGGGGAGGTAGCAGATTTTAGTGGGTTGCTTGAAATCCAGCCAGGGTCAACCCACTAAACCAACCCATGTGCTTGAGGCCCTTTTGTGATGTCACAGCCTACCCTCTCCCTTCCAGAATAACCCTTGGCAATCAAAGAACCAATACCCCACAAGGTCAGAATGCAGCCCCACCCATGTACCCCTTGATGATGTCCCAGCCCATCCTCTCCATTCTGGAATAGCCCCTGGAAACCAAAGAACCAACGCCCCACACCCCCACAGTGCAGCCCCACCCATCTGCCATGGGACTCTTTGTGAAGTCACGGCCTTTCCTCCAGGAAAGAAAGCCTGTAACCTTTGGGTTTCAGGTGCAGTTGGTGGGGCACCCTGGGCACTCCATGGGCAGCAAGAGCTTTCTGTCCTGCCACCTTTTGTCTGGCAGGAATCTTTGTCCAGATTCAAATTTGGCAGTCGGACTGACAGTTCCAGCACAGGGCTCCTGCAAGCAAACGACAGCCCTGCCCTCCAGGAAAGAAACCCCTTACCTTCAGTCTCTTTTCCTCTTCCTTCAATACAACCTGCAGGGCAGCTTTCTGCCATCTCTTCTCTGGGGAATTGTGAAGATAGACCCGCTCCCATGTTTAACACCTCAGGCAAAACCACCCTGTTAACACCTTTCCCAACCTTCCCCAGCCTTTCCCAAAGCCGAGATGGGGAAAGAACAAGTGCCCTTGTCCTGGCTGTGCTGCTGTGCTGAGAGTCTCTTCCCTCCAGCTCTGCACACAGGCACTGCCCCTGCAGCTCCAGAGAAGGGCTGAAGAAGCATCTTCAACACAGAAATCAGGGCAGGTGTATCAGGGATTGTTGATATGTTTTTCTTTGTGTTTGGCACAACCCCCTACAAAAGTTTTGTTCTTTGCCTGCGCCACGTTCACTGATAAACGGGAGCTTCGTCCTTGGAGAGAGAGTATCTTGTATAAACTGTTTTAATTGGTGCTCTGTGATTGGCTGGTTGTCTGTAGACGACATTTGAAGGAGAAACCGAAGAGAAGAGGATGAAGTAAAGCCCCCAGACTCAAATAGATCAGACTCCCTGAGTGAAACAGCACAAGTGCATCCTTCGAACTCACCTTGCTCAACACCTTTATCTGCAAAGATAGAAAACCTGACATTTTAAAATTCTGCAGAGTTGGGGTTTGCCTCTAGTACTGTTTACTCCCAGGAAGGACTTTCTTGCCCTCACTAACAAGCTTTTCAAGAAATCCCTAGAGGACGACCAAGAACTTCATAAACTCATGACTTCTTTGAAGAACAGTTGTCCTGGGTTGATGAAAACATTTCTGAGAATTCAAAATTACCATTTTGGTTATGCATTTATGTTAAAGGGGGTGCTTTTGTAGAAGTCTTTTTAGAAGACTAAGTCCGTGGATTAATTCTTTTCAATGGCTCTTGTCCAGTGTTCTTCCTCTTCATCTTCCATTTCAAGTAGGATGAAACCAAGGAGAGACTGGAATGAACTAAGAGCATGAATACATGAGAGGAGAGTAAAAATACACGGGAAAAAAGAGGAAAGCCTTCTCAGAGCCACCTAAAACCTATATTTAAAAAATGTCTAGTTGTTCCTTCTTTGGTTTTTTTTGTTTTTCTTTTTTTTTTTTTTTGAACTTATGGATAACTACCAAGAAATTACAATAAATGGCATCACCGGGAGATGCACCAACCCTCTCCAAAACTTGCCTAAAATTGGACTGATTTGTTCCAACAGCAGAAAATTCCTGCCCTTGTGTCACTGAACACTGCCTTGTATTTGGTCAATGAAGAAGAAGTTGAACCATTCTTCAACTCAAATTCAAATGTCCCCATCTTGGTTTGGCCAATCCAGCAATAGGCTGTGGAGAAGCAAGGTTTGTGCCTGCATCTTGGTGCTCCTGGGGGCAGAATCTCAAGTGTCTATGCTCTACATCCTACCCTGCCAAGTGACCCTTGGCCACACATCATGTTTTGGAGGCTTTCAAGGCCTACCTGTGCACTTTCATTTCATCACTCAAATGCTGGTTTCTTTTGAATTCTTCAAATCTAGCTTGAAAGGTGCAAGTGTTGGAGCTACTGGAACACCCCTGACAGTTGGAAAAGGTTGTTTGGACTACTCTTGGAGTCGAGGTTCAGCTAGGAGAAAGCAATAAAGTTTCCAACTGAATCAGTCAGCCCTGTCCACAGCTGAGAAATACACAATCCCTTCTGGACCTGTGTCATGCATGTTGTAAGAAGCATTTTTACCAGTGCTGAGCAGTGTGGCAACCAAAGCCAACACGGTTTTTAGGGATAGGGAATGCATTTTAGAAAATGCTTTCAAGACGCAGCAGTAAATTCCGAGATTTTCCACAGCAAATCCTCACAGGCACACAGCCCTCCACCCAGAAGTGTCCCATACCAGGTCCATCTGCTTTCCCCCTGCCTGGAACTGCACAGTCTCCGCATCAGAAACCTCTCCCCAACCAGAAAGGCAGCCAAGGAACATGTTTCTCTTCTTTCATAGACGCATCCTTGGCCCATTCAAGATGTCTTTTTGCTTTTGCTCTGCTGGACTCTGAATCTGTTCTACTGCTGCTTTCTTTCTCCAGAGGATTTTTAGTGGGGTTTTCAGCAACCTTCTGCACTGCAGGAATTACAAGTCCAAAAGAACAAAAAAAACAAGATGTCATCCTAAATCCAAAGCGTATCAATTTTTTGGGGTGATAATTAATAACCCTGGGATGAAAGATCTTCCTGTATGTGGTGGGTTGCCCTGGGCTGGCTGACCAGCATCCTGCTGCTCTCTCACTCCTCCACCTCAACAGGGGGGTGAGGAAGAAAAGAATTCATGGCTTGAGACAAGGACAGGAAGATTCCTTGCCAATTCATCGTGGAGATGCTGCAGGCTCTAAACAGTCAGGAAAACTAGCCCTAGCCACACACACTGGGATTCCTGAATTTAGGGTGGAACCTGAGCTCAGCTCCTTGACTTTTTTGACTGTTCAATTCCACAGGGTGTCTGCCAGTTCTCCTAAGAACTCTTTCCTTTGTCATTTCCAAAAGGAGCAGCTTCACAGGTCCCTGGGGGCTTCATTCTCCAAGAGCCACACAAGAAGGAGAAAAGGCTGTGTCTTCAAAGCCCTCTGCCAATCACCTCTCTTAGACCAAACAATCCCAGAAGTTTATTCCTCCTGCCTCAAAAAAGACACGTTGGGATTTGCCCAACTCCCACTGCTGGGTCCAGGCAAGAGCAATCTTCCAGCCTTTCCTCTAAGAAAAGACAAGTCAGGAAGAGCGCAGTGTCATGGCACTGGGGAGACAGGAGAGAGGACCTTGCAGAGCAAATAAAACTGGCTGTAGAAGCAAAGAAAATTCAGCTCCCAACAAGATCAAACTAATTCCACTGACAGGGGAAAACATTTGGCATCTTCCAGGACGAGGGGGTCTCACCACAGGCAAATAGGTGCTTTCTGGGGAACACAGTCAATCGAGGATCATTAGACAAGAAGTGGAAAAGGTCAGCAGAATCAAAGGCCGTGCATCTGGAACTGCAGACCAGTTGTCTCCAATCAGTGTTTCAGTAGTCCTGCAACAGCCACCAGATTGGGTGTAGACCCACAGGGATGCTACCATAACATTGCTGGGAAGTCGAATGGAACTCCAGACACAGAACTACTTGTTTTGTCTTGGAATTTTACAAAATGCTTCACAAGCCCTGTTCTCTGAGAGATGCCGTTACGGACGTGCCGCTTTTCTAAGCTGCTTTCCATCAACCCATCTCCTCTGTCCTGCCTCTTCTGTTATGTCTGATCTGTTTGAACAGCCTCCATGGAAAGATGTATTGAACCAAACTAAAGGTAAAGCCTTTTTTTAGATAGAAGTAAACTCTTCCAGTTAGTTCCCCGCAGATCTATTTGACCATGTTCTAGAAACTATCACATCAGATGTTGTGGTACTTGGTCAGAAGGGACCATTTTCATGAAACTGCTAAGACAGCCTTTACTATTCAGTGACCATCTCTGAAGAAGGAGTGAAAAGGGACACATTTTAATACAATAATTCAAAAAATTCAAGCTTCAGCTACTCTACCAGTATTTATAGAGCTCTTTCTCTTCCAAGCAAATGCCAGCAACTTTTGTTGAAGTGTTTGATTGTGAAAAATTCTATAGGACCACTTGCAAGAACCACTTCAAAACTTGTTTTCCATGTCAAGAAGAGTTGGTTTATTTAATATTTATTTATATTTAATAATTCTATGCTTCTATGGTTCTACTCTTCTATTCTCCTACTCTGCTATGCTTCTATGGTTCTATTCTTCTCTACCTCTATCCCATCTATTCTTCTAGGGTTCTGTGGTCCTATGAGTCTACTCTTCTGTGTCTCTACGCTTCTACTCTTCTATTCTATTCCCCTACCCCTCTGTTCCCCTCCCCTTCTATCTTTCTCTACTTCTACACTTCTACACTTCTATGCTTCCTGGTTCAGCTGGGCCGGCAGAGATTGCCCGAGCTCTGGTTGTGCTGAGCTCCTTGTGAACCGTGTCCTCAGCCTCTGATGCTGCTCTCCAGCCCCACTGTGCTGCCTACTCGAGGCACACGTAGGCGCCTGAGCTCCCCTGCTCCACTGCAAACACCATCTCCGTGGTGATCTGCCTGCCTGGCATGCCTGTCAGCTGGAACCTGCAGGACCGGCAGGAGGGCAGCACCGTGAGCTGGCAGTGCTGCGAGGCAGGCAAAAGCAGCCAGGCTGATGCCACCAACGTTTGCAGCCAGTGGGCGACTTTCTCCACATCCAGGTAGTTGCCTGTGCACAGGATGTCCCGCAGGTTCAAGCTGCGATCCTTGCCAGTGGGGTGGAGCAAACAGGACATATCCCCCAGCAGCTGCTTCCTCCAGCACGTGCACTCCAGCAGCACACGGATGCGGGAGTGACTTGCTGGCAGCTGCTCCGTGGTGCCCAGGAAGAAGAAGTGCCCATAGGGTGGTCGCAGGATCACCAGCAGGCAGTAGTTGATGCTGTTCTGGTCGATGCTCCAGGCTTCGGAAGGGCTGTCTGTCCCTGGAGATGCCTGCAGCTCCGGCGTGAAGTTGGTCTTGGAAAGCGCTCGGCAGACATCCAGGAGTTCCCCCACCAGCTCCTTCAGGAGCTTGCACTTGCTGGGCAGGTTTGGCTATGGAATCAATGAACATTTGGGGTTGGAAGGGGACCTTTCAAAGCCATCTAGTCTGACCTAATCCTCCCACAAGGAGCAGGAAAATTCTCCACTAGATCAGGTTGCTCACAGCCCTGTCCAGCCTTACCTTAACTGGGTCCACTGGTGAGGGGGTTGGCACAGCCAAGGAGCTGACACTGGCAGAGGCACACTGCCTTCTCCTGGACAGCCAGTGGAGTTTCTTCTGCTGCTCCTTGCCTTGATTCTGGGGGCTGCATCTCTCCTGCTCCCTGCAGCTGGCAGAGGCACGCTTCCTTCTCCTGGCTAGCCAGCAGCGCCAAGCGAGCAGCACCACTTCTGCTGCTGCAGGACCCCAAACCAGCCAATGCTGCTGCAGGCAAGAAGGAAGCAGGCCTTCCACCGTGCCCGTGCTCCCCTCAACCTCCTCCAGCATCTGAGTCATCTTATTTCGCAGCAATTCCTCATGCTTCAGCATCTCTTTCTCCGTCTTCACGTCATGGCAAAAAATTGTGGGCCCCATGGCCAGCAGAGCCAGGACGAACGCGAGTCTCAAAGACATGGCCTGGTGGGATGAAAAGGGGCTCAGCAGGTCTGGCTGGGAGGGAGTGGGGGCTTGGAGGCATCTGGCATGTCCCCAAAGCCTCTCTGGCCACGTGGAACCACTTAGGAGAGCCCTAAGCCCCTCCTCCCCCAGCCCAAGGATATTCCAGTGCCCTGCCCTCAGGCCTTTGAGTCTTGCTCTGCCTTAGAAACCACCTGGCCACCTGTCCTGCCCCATCCAGCCCAGCATTCCCCCTGCATGTGCACTCACTGGTCACCAGAATCCCACTGGCATGGAGCTGGGGCTGCCTGGGGATGGGATCCATCCTCTGTGATGTCACATCCCCCACAGCCACATTCCCCAGCTGCCAAGACGCTGCCTTTCCTTGGGACTCAGTAGAAACTATCTCCAGGGCAGCTTAGAAACTTGGAGAAACTTGGGGCCATTTCCTCTTTAGTGGCAAAGTTGTGTTTCTTACAAGTAACAAATACAAACTTTTAGTTCTTACAACACACTTCTGGAATACTTTTTGTTTTGTTTTGTTTTGTTTTTCCCATTTGTCTCTCACACAAGACAGAGCAGTCACTCCATGTGAACCTGTGTCCCTGGTTCCCATGGTGGGCTTGCAGGAACTTGGACATTTGTGCATTGTTCAGATGGCATCACTGACTTCCCTCTGACAATTTGGCTGCTACCTGGGCAGTGTTCCCTAACACTAACCAAAAGGGATCATTCCCCCAGAATGTTCAGAGACCCTATGGAGAAGGTGTAGAGCAACTGCTTCTCATTCTGTTGGCACTGCCTCTGCCACCTAGCAAAGAAACAAATAAACAAACAAAATCCCAAAACAAAACAAAACAAAAGCATTTTTATCCACTGAAAGTGTTCAGGGATGATTTAATCTGTGGAAAGACACACCATTTCTTAGGATACACAGAAAGCTTAGATAGAACCTGAAGGACAGGCTGGGAAGGGTCGTGCAGATGAGTGGGGCTCATCCTCAGGAACTCATCCTCTTACTATTTGGAAAAGACAAATTCCACCTGAAGGCTTTTTCTGATGGCAAAAGAAAGAGGCACTATTGCGGTTCATCTCTTGGTTTTTATCTCTGCCTGAGAGCAGAGGTGATCGAGAAATGGGAATATTTTAAGGGAACGCTTTATCACCTTGGATCAGGGAATGTTGATATTTTTGGATCTGTGTTTGGCCCAGCCACCTGTGGAAGTTTTGTTCTTTGCCTGCCAAGTTCACTGATAAACGGGAGCTTCATCCTTGGAGAGACAGTTTCTTGTATAAACTGTTTGAATTGGTGCTCTGTGATTGGCTGGTTGTCTGTAGAGGACATTTGAAGGAGAAACCGAAGAGGAGAGAATGAAGTAAAGCCCCCAGACCCAAACAGATCAGACCCCTTGAGTTAAACAGCACAAGTGTGAGGGGAATCCCCACGTTCTCCCGCATGGCTGAAGGGGTGCACTCACAGAACAGGGGAGGGACCGAGGGCCTCTGGCTGGGCGGTGCTGCCACACCGGCCCAGGGAGACGTAACCGGCTCAGTGGATAAAAACGCAGGTGACTCGTGCTCGGGGCTCTCAAGCTTCACAGGAAGGACAACGTTGCCTTCTGCGGGGACGCCACTATATTTGTGAGCCTGCGGACTCTCCGAGGATGCAGCCTCTGCTGGGGGGAATTCTGGTTCTCCTGGGGTCGGTAAGACAACCTCGTAAAACACACCTGTTTGAGTGGGGGTTTTACTCAGGTCTTAGTTTACTCCTGTCCTTTCCTGTCTCCTGGATTCCTGTTTACTTGGCCACTTTCTGTAATATATATTGAGTTTCATGTTGAGCTCTCAGCAGTGTCTTGGTTTTCAATCTCTGCATCCTCTCAGACTCACCCTGTTTCAGGGACTCAGACTGAAAATTCCAGCGAATGTGTTCTGACTCCAATCAAATTAATTTCCACCCAGGAAGGAAAGCATTTACCTTCCCTCTCTGCTGTGCAATTGGTGAGCTGCCACGGTTCGGGAATAAACACACAAGAGCTGTGGATTTTGAAGCACAGGGTAGCAGATCCTGGGCAGATCTGCTTTTATTCAAAATGGGGGGCTTTTATAGGGCAGGTTGAGGAAGGTTCTGGAAAAAGGGAGTGGATATGTAAAACTAGGAAGGGTTAACATGAATATGTAACAGGGAGGTGGGTACATGACCATGAGGTAACTTGGAAGGGATATGATTGGGTAGGACACATACATTGTAATAGAAGGGTTAACTTTGGTCATAAAATCTTATGTGTATGAGGGAATAAGGAACTTTTGTTATAATTCAACAAGATAAGTTTCATGGACATCCTGTTAATCAAGCAAGCGGCAGTAAAAATAATTCCAGACATCTTGCTAAACAAACAAGTATCAGTATCAGTAAAATTTACAACTGATAAGAACTGCACCTTTTCATCTCTGTCAAATACCAGATGACCACTTAACAATGAGCCACGAACTCAAGCCTCAACGCAGCCGCATTCAAAACTCGGGACTTGGAAATGCATAAAAAGGAACATTTACTACATTTTGTGTGTGCCTCGGCAGGGCACTTGCCCTCCAGGCCACCCAGCACTGTTTTGCTTTATTATCGCTTGCTTAATAAATTTATCAATGTTTAATTGGAATTGAGTTGTCTAAATTCTTATACTAACTTATAACAGGTACCAGCTTCTCCGATGAAACCTGAGGCAAGTCCAGGCCGTCGGCAGAACAGTGAGTGAAGGAGCATAGGTGAACCGGGGCCAAAGACAGCTAGATGACTTGGCCGAAAACAAAATGAACCCTGGAGCTCTCCTCTTCATTCACATCCTCCCTGAGTCAGGGCAAAAGTAAAGTGCCGTCCCCAGAAGAAAAGAAACGCACCTCCCCCTACTGAAGCCATTAGGTTGGAATGTGGGGCTATCAGCCAGTCCTTTTGTGTGTGTGGCTCACTCTGGCCATCTCCTCCCCCCTCCCTCCCTCAACACCTTTCTTTCACAGAGGTAAAGGGAAAAAATTCCAAGCAGGGATTTTTTTTCCTTTAAAACAAGAAAACCTATGACACCGACTGAAGTTGGAAGTTGTTCCTATTGTGTGGGTCAGTGAAATTCCAGAAAAATCGAGTTACCCCTAAGCCAGGAGCTATATCAATAGGGCAAAACCACTATCCTTTGAAGTTGGATTGGTTTCAATAACAGACATTTGCTAAGCATGGTTTGCTTGTAGAATGTGAATCCAAGTACCCATAAAGAAAGCAAATGGTGAAGATCATTGATTAGTGCAGAACCTGAGAGAACCCTCTTAAATGTTAACCTAGGACAGTTTACAGTATTAAATTTAAACAATGCCTTTTTCTGCATCCCCTTGATCAAGGAAAGTCAAGGAATCTTTGCTCTTGAATGAGAAAATCCAGAAACAGTAAGGAAGAAAAGAAGCCACCTGTCTCCTGCGTGAGCCAAAAACAGTTCATGAACTGCCTGCCTGGGAGTGGTAGGATGATGTCAACTCTGGATTGCTCACTATGGACTCGTGGTAAGACCGCTATATGAACTTTTAAAAACAGCCCTATAAGAATTTTCTCGCCTAGACAGACGGTGCAAGAGCAACCTTTAAGCAGCCAAAGTACCCCCTGATGAGAGCCCAGGCTCTGGGTCTGTCAGATCTCTCAAAACCTTTTGAACTGTTTATCTGTGAGAGCCAGAATGTTGCTTCTGGGAGTGCTTGCACAGTTTCTAGCGGATCAGTGAAGAGCCAAAGCCTATTCCAGCCAAAACCCCTGACTGTGAATTGTACACAATGGAAGCAGCTTTGTTCAGGAGGGAAAACAAGTGACAGGCTGTGCAGTGATCACCACCAACAAGGGAATCAAACTGCAGCCTTACCAATGACTATATCTGCTCAGAAAGTAGAATTAACTGCTCTCAGTCCTGGATTTAACAAAAAGAGTAAATATTTGGCATTGAAAACTTTCCCTGAAACTGAAAACCATTTTGCTGACAAATCTGCAAAAGAGGCAGCAGAAAAAGGCATTCTGGCTTTAATCCCAGAAAAGGAGGTAGCATTATATAAAATTGCCCCAAAGCACAATAAAAAAAGGACTTTCAGTTAATTAAATACTTCAAAGCTAACATTCAAGCTACAGAATAGGTTGTTACCCCTACAAAGCCAGTGATAGTGGCACCTGCAGTCATGGGAAAAGAGAGCATAAAATAACCCAAACACTAGCAATAAAATAACTGTAGGAGTCACAAAAGCTGAAAATCTTCCTGGAGACTATTGGCAAATAGAGTTTACTGAGTTACTCTGGAAAGAAATCCCTTCCTTATCACACCAATAAAGCAAATGAAGTAATGAAGATTTTCTTAAACCACATTATTCCTGGGTTCAGAATTTCTCTAGGAATGTCATCAGATAAAGAATCCCATTTTATCGCAGCAGTGGTACACAAGACAAGGAACATTTGTCAGGAAACCTGAATGACATCGGTGCAGGCCCTGCCTATGGCATTGCTGAGAATTCGGTTCAGCCTGGAAGAAAAGACAATTTAAGCCCTTATGAACTAATGTACACTTTAGCATCTACCCTGCAGAAACTCCGGAGATTCGTCGTGATGTCTCAGACAGTGGATTGGACACCCCAGCCCATCCATTCCTGCCCCGGCCATTGGGTCCACATCAAGTGGGAGGACGCTAAGCTCCTACAGGTGAAAGGGAAAGGACCTTTCCAGGTTTTGTTGACCACATTTACAGCAGTTAAGAGATGCAGAAAAGGGCCTTGAACACATTATCGTCAAGTTAAGAACACTCCATTTGACTGGAAAGCCAAACAGACCAGACCCTTAAAATTATCATCTCTGTTTGTATAGCAGCTTGTATTATGATTTAATGCTGTAGCTGTTGTAGTTACCTATGGTTCAAAGTATGCTTTGAATAATGAAACATTGGCCTAATGGCCAAGTCTCAAGAAAATGGAAGGAATGATATCTGAAGTTCTGAGATGTAACAAGAACTAATAGTTTTTGCAGCAGAATGTACCATAGAAACTACATATGGCTGAGTCAAGTGATTTAAAGGGGCCAACCAAGCAAAGTAAAGAAACAATGAAGAAGATAACTGAGGCAGCCAGCCAAGCAACACCAAGTTACCCTATAACCAGGGGTATTGTCTTAAAGGTCATAAGGCAGTCACTCAGAACTTTAGAGGCTCCAGACACAGATGACCACCAGAGACCGTCAGTGAAGCCCTTCAGAGACCTTATAAGGATACACAGATATACTAATAAGTGTTGAAAAATGTCATGAATATGTAACAGGAATGCAGGGAACAAAAAATAAATAATAATGTAATGCTGACAATCAGCTGTAGTGAGGACACCTCTGTGTGCACTTTGGGAACTGATTCCCAGGGTACTTGTGACTGCAGTGCATCATGGTAATGAATGTCTTCCTGCTAAACTCACACATTGGGTCTTAGAGGTTTCTTTTAAGACCCAATTTTAGGCAAGAGGTGGCCCCTCAGGAGCCCTCCAGTGGGGTGACACAGGAAGGACACGTGGGGTCCCCATTCCCAATCCATCCTGGAGGCCAGATGTGGCCATCCCACCCCCACACTCGGCCCTGCCCCCTACCCTGCATGTTCCCCTCAACAGCCCCCTCAGTGCCCCCCAGTAACAGGGACTGGGGAGAACTAGGAGGCTTTACTGTGAACACTGGAAGCACTGGGTGGGGGCAGAGTGACAGTGGTGCAATACACAACTCGGCAATCAAGTAATTTAGGGAGGGGAGTCAAACCAAATCAGGATGGAATTGAGCTATTTTGAGGTGATGGATTGATCCCTCTCAGCTTTTGGGGTGCAAAGCTGTGACAAACTGGAGTGTTGATGGTTCATGGCTCCAACACTCTCAAGTTGCAAAAGCAGCTGGTGCCCCTTTGCCCATGGGCAAAAGAACCACCCAGGGGCAGATGCGGGTGAACACCCACTCCTGGAGGGGACAGGATGGGCTTGGAGCCAGAGAAGGGAAGAAGCCAAAAAGGAACAGGTACTGCCAGGTGGGACAGTGCTTTGGATCACAGCACTGTCCTCCCCTACACAACTGGCTCAGAAGGGAAAACTCTGCCCCAGGAAGTAGTGGAACATTCACACAGAGCCCAGAGGTTTTCATCCCTTCTCATGGACCACAACTAGCTCAGCCACTGACAGGAGAGGCAGGGTCATGTCTAAGAAGGGGACAGAAACCATCAGAGAGCCCCCAAAGTGCTCCATGATCCATATCAGACACTGTAAAACTCCCCCCTAGGGGAGGTACTTGGGCATTCCAACTAAACCTGAATGTATATTAACCCACTGAACTTTGTGTTTCAGGGGTGTCCTCCACCTCCAATGGATCAAGACTGTGACCATCACTTGGACAAAGGGACATGAGTGCAACTACCAAGTCTATGCTGGATCCTCAGGTTGTGACTCCGTATTTTTCTACTCTGATACTTTCTTTCTTTTCCCGTATACATTTTCTTAAATGTTCTTTTTATGCTTTTATATTACTAGAGATAGTAATACTAGCTCTTCCCACACTCCCCACACGTGTAGGGCCTTTCCTTGGTGTGGATGCGCTGGTGGGTGACGAAGGTGCAGCTGTCACTGAAGGTTGTCCCACATGCCCCACGCTTTTAGGGCTGTTGCCCAATGTGGATCTGCTGGTGGCGGATCAGGTTGGAGTTGACGTTGAAGCTCTTCCCACACTCCAAGCACTTGTAGGGCCATTCCCCTGTGTGGATCTGCTGGTGGCGAATCAGGTGGGAGCTCTTGCTGAAGCTCTTCCCACATTCCAAGCACTTGTAGGGCCGTTCCCCAGTGTGGATCTTTTGGTGGCAGGTCAGGCTGGAGCTCTGGCTGAAGCTTTTCCCACATTCTCCACACAAATAGGGCCGTTCCCCAGTGTGGACACGCTGGTGGGTGATGAGGTTGGAGCTCTGGCTGAAGCTCTTCCCACATTCCCCACATGTGTAGGGCTGTTCCCCTGTGTGCAGGTGCTGGTGGGTGAGAAGGGCAGTGCTCTTGCTGAAACTCTTCCCACACTCCAAGCACTTGTAGGGCCATTCCCCAGTGTGGATCTTCTGATGGCAGATCAGGTCAGAGTTCCGGTTGAAGCCCCTCCCACATTCCCCACATATGTAGGGCCGTTCCCCACTGTGGAATTTCTGATGGGTGATGAGGTGAGAGCTGTGCCTGAAGCTCTTTCCACATTCTCCACACCTGTAAGGCCATTCCCCAGTGTGGATGCGCTGGTGAGTGAGGAGGTGGGAGTTCCATCTGAAGCCCTTCCCACATTCCAAGCACTTGTAGGGCTTCTCCTCAGTTTGAAACTGCTCAAGGACCACCAGGTCAGAGCTCTGGCTCAAGCTCCAGCCGCCTTCCCTGCATATGGTGGGTCTTTCCTCCTCAGAGCACCCTGGGCTGGCTTTGCAGCCCCTCCTCCAGGGGGATCTCCAGGCCTTTTCCTCCCCGTTGCCTTCCTGCGCCGGGGAGCCCTTCAAAACGGCCTCTCCCACCAGGCTCTGCTGGGGGGATTTGTCCTCCGTGCTCTCCGTCCTCAGCTCGGGGCCTGGGGCAGGAAGGAAGAAGGACAGGCAGGGGATTTGCCTCTGGCCCAGAGGGAAGGCCAAGGACATCCCCCAGTCCAGCCCCGGCAGGACGGCAGCGCCAGCGGGGTTGTTCTGCAGCCGGGGGCGACGCTCGGCTGCCACAGGCACCACAAAACAGGGCCAAAGGGGTACTGACTTCCTCATCACCTGCCTGGGGGGCCCGTGGCATCTTCCTCGCAGCCTCCTGCTCCATCTAGCCAAGGAAGGAAAAATCTTGTTTTGAGGAGCAAAAACAAGGTGTGAGCACATTGGCTTGGGGGTTGCTTCAGTCCAAGTCCATATCTAAAAGTCACCAAGCATCTTGCATCTGTAAAAACCTCCAAAATACCAACATTCAGCCCCAAAAAACCCTCCCAGGAGATCCCCCTCTCTGGTCTCTCCGCTTTGGGGTTCTAGGGGTCCCCCCGTCCGGGCTGGGGGTCCCACATGTATTGGGGGTCCCCCTCTCTGGGGTCCCCACCCTCTCCAGCCTATCAGGGGTTCCCGTGAATCCCAAGCCTCCCTGCCTCTGCAGTTTCCTCACTTTGGGGTTCTGGGATTGCCCCCTCTTCAGGGTCCCACTTAGGAATGCCAGGGGTTTCAGAGGTCCTGGGGTCACTTCTTCCTTATCTCTCTGCTTCAGGGTGCCAGGGGTCCCACGGGTCCCCCCTCTCCAGGCTGCTGGGAATGATGTCCCCGGGAATCCTAGGAATGCCTTCTCTCCGGGCACCCATTTTGTTGTCCCAGAACTGACCCCCCTCTCCAGGCTGCGAGGGGTCCTCCAGCTCCGATATCACCCCTCTCCGTTCTCCCCACTCCGGGGGTCCCGGGATTCCCACCTACCCCCGGCTTTCCCGGGGGTCCCCAAAACCAGTGTGTGTGTCCCCCCACTGCCGGCTGCGGGCTGACAATGGAGGCGGCGGTTCCCGAGCAAGGGAAGACCGACCTGTTATAGTCAAATGACCAGATATAAATTTTTTCTTTTAAATATATTGTAGAAATTTATTGAAGGCAAATAAGCAAAGCAGCGCGCTGGAAGACCCGGGGAAACTCCTGTTCCACCAACGGTCTTCCCGCCAAAAACGTGTAATGATCTTTTATATGTGCCACTATTCCCTCCCCTTTAGGCGGCGCCTGGATGCCGGGTGGCAGGTCCCAGATGGAGGTGGTCCTCAGATGGCAGCGGCTGCTCTCGGAGCGGGGCGAGTGGCTCCTCCCTCGGGCCGGCTCCTCCCTCGGGCAGCTTGCTGCCACGGCTGCTCTGCCGCTCCTGGCTCGGCTGCAACAGGCTGTGCCGGGGGCCGTGCCGCTCGGCTATGTCCCTTTATCCATATCTTTATAGGCTCATTTAAAGCTTACATTCAGAACTTGTTTAACATAGTAAGATATAGCTTTCCATAGTAACATAACATTGTGGTTTGACATTTGTAATTCAAACTAACCACTAACACTAACATTGCAAAGATAATTTGATTAGCAAATTATTTATCTTTGCCTTTATTAACTATTTCAGACCCGCACCGCGGGGGGCACCCGCATCCCCCCGCATCCCCCCACCTACAGCCAGCGCTGTTCCGGGAACCGCCACCGGGGCCCCCCCAAAAAGCACCTCCCGGGCACCCCCATTATCGCCCCAAAGGGCATTTCTGGCTCAGCTTTGGAGTCCTCCAGGCTTCAATATCGCACCAGCCCTCGACAAAAAGGAAAAAACAAACCCAGAGACCCCTCAAGATATTTTGGGCGAGCTCCGGCTCACCGGTGGGATGCGGGGGCAGTGATGCTCCTAGGGAATCCCCGGCCTCCCGGACTTCCCTTTTGTTCTTGCTGACCTTGCTCTTGCTCCTCCGGCTCCTCCCCCATCCCGCCTTTTCCTCCCCCTCCACTTCCTCCCGCTCCTGCCCCTCCCTAATTCCAGCCCTTCCCCTCCTTCACAATCACGAACTGGGGGAGCTTCGGTCCGTGCTCCGACTCCATCACCAACAGGTAACGCAGGGAGGGGGGAACTGGGGAGTCCCAGAGTCAAGGCAAGGGGAGACGAGCGTGGGGGAGAGGTGGGGCAGGCGGGAAAGGGGGTTAGGGAGGTTATTGGTGCAGGATAAGGGGGTGCAAGGGGAGTCTGGAGCTGGAGAAGAGAGTGCAGGGGCGTCCCAGTGTCTGGGAATGGGGGTCCAGGGGGTTCCCCAGGTCAACGAAAGGTGGGACTAGGGTGGGGAGAGGCAGTATAGGGGGTCCAGGGGGTCCCTGTGCCCAGGAAAGGGGCATCCAGGGGCCTCCAGTGTCCTCCAGTGTCAGGGAAAGGTGATTCATTGGGTGTGGAGACATGGGAAGTCCGAGAAGGGGTTTCAGAGGGTCCCTGATGTTGAGGAAAGGAGAGGCTGGGGACTGGGAGAGGCCGGAATTGGGGGTGGAGTGGGTACCAGAGTCAAGGAAGAGGGAGTGTCTGTAGTCTACGAGAGGTAGGATGGGGGTGCAGAAGAGTCCCAGTGCTGGATAGGAGGTGCAGGGGGGCCCTGATGCCCAGGCATGGGCCCAGGAGGTCCCAGGGTCAAGGAAATGGAAGTGTGGGGTCTGGGAGAGATAGCATAGCTGGGAAAGGGGGTGCAGAGGGTTCTGGAACCAGGGAAGTGGGTGCAGGGGGTCCTGGATAAGGGGGTGCAGGGATTGTCTCAGTTCACAGGAATGTGGGGTACAGAAGGTACCTGGGATCCCCTGGAGCACCCCTGGACCCCCCTGCAGGAAGGGCCAGGAGCAGGGAACTGGGAAGACACAGAAATTTGAGGGTCAGGGTGGTACCAGGGTCAAGGAAATGGGGGAACTGGGAGGGCTGGGAAGGGGCTTCAGAGGGTCCCAGGGTCAAGGAAAGCTGGGACTGGGGGTGAGGTGACCTGGGATGGCCAACAACAGGAGACTAGGCATCCCCAGAGTAAAGGAAAAGGGGGATTTGGGGGCTGGGAGAGGCAGGATGGCCGGGACAGGAGGTGTTGTAGTCAAAAAAGGGGGGGCTGGGGGCTGGAGAACCAGGAATGGCTGGGAAGGGGGGTCCCAGTGCCTGGGAAAAGGGAGTGCAGGGGGATCCTGATAATAATAGGGAAGCGGAGGAAACAATGGGATGAAGCTCCAAAGTGCCAATTCCCAGCAGCAGGAAGGCAGGAAGAGGGTAGGGAAGTGGCCCCAGGGAAAGGGACCCCAGAGCAGATCTCCTGGTCAGGGCCAGACTGGGAACTGGGAACAAGGACTTTGGGAATACAGAGCAGTGGGAAGGGGTTGCCCTCCCCCTCCTGCCCATCCTGCGCTTCCCAGAGACCAGTCACTCCCACTATATTCCACTTGCCTACAACATGGTCCCAATTGGTCCCAGGAGTGCCAGTCACTCCCAGTGTGAGTCCAGCACGATCCAAGTCTCCCGCAGCAGGATCCCAGTCACTCGAGATGCCCCAGGGTAGGTCCAGTCACTCCAAGTTGATCCCAGTTGCTCCCAGTGTGGTCCCAGTCACCCCCAGTATGGTTACAGACATTCCTAGTATGACCCCAGTGTGGTCCCAGTCGCCCCAGCATCATTCTAGTATCTTCCAGTTGATCCCAGTTGGCTCCCACCATTGGCCCAGTAGATCCCAGTAACCCCCAGTAAGGTTCCATTCACACACTATGTAATCCCAGTAACCCCCAATAAGGTTCCATTCACACACTACGTAATCCCAGTATGATCCCAGTATGATCCTAGCCACTGCCAGTATGGTTCCAGTCACTTCCAGTATGACTCCAGTTGTCCCCTACAAGTTAATCCTTGTCAATGCCATTGTGGTCCCAGTCACCACCAGTATAATCCCAGTCACTTCCTGCCACTGCCAGTAGAATCCCAGTATGATCCCAGTTGCCTCTGGTGTGGTTCCACTTGCTCCCAGTATAAACCCAGTCACTCTCAATATGATACCATTTACTCACAGCATGGTCCCAATTGCTCCCAGTCACTCCCACTCTCAGATACTCCAGTACTATTCCAGTCACTCCCAGTCGCCCCCAGTATGAACCAAGTTGCCCCCCACATACTTCCAGTTGCTCCAGTCCCCCCCACTACGGTTCCCTCATGACTGGGGAGTACCACAAAAACTCCCTCAGGATTGGGGGTAGCCCAATACCCCATCAGGAATGGCAGATACCCAAAAATCACTTCAGGAATGGGGGATACCCCAAAATGCCCTCAGGAATGGGATCCCCCCTGGCCTCATCATCCCCAGCTTTCAGCTCTCTCATTCCAAACCCCATCCATGCCACCCCTCCCCCCGCATGGAGACCCCCTTCCCAAGACCAATTTCACCCATCCCACCCCTTCCAACCTCATCCCACTCCTTCAAGAATCAATCCCACCCCTCCCAAGCCACTTCCCACCCCATCCTAATCCTCCCAGTCCCCATCCCACCCCTCTTCGGGGCTTGGGGGGGATGTGGGATTGAGTAATTCTGGGGTGGGATTAAGCCATTTTCATGTGGGATTGAGTAGTTTTAAGGAGACAGATTTATCCCTCTTAGCTCTTGGAGTGAAAAGCAATGGAGAAAATTCTCCCAAATCTGCCTAGAACCTCCAAATCCTCCTGAATATCCCCTGAACTCCAAATTCACCCCCAAATTCTAGTAAAATGATGGAGCTTTAGATGCTTTGTTGTATTTCTTTATTTTTACCCCAATTTCAGGTGTTTAGAAGGGATGAAGGTGGATCAAATAAAAATCAAGGTGAAAACATGTTGGTGCTGTACGAGTATCTGTGAGGTTGGGTTTTGGTGGAAGAGCCTCTTTTGGAGCGGGGTTCTACGCCATTGTCTCCAAACTCTTGGGCACAGGCTGCGGCCAGGCTGTGGGGTCCGGCTGGTCCGGGATCCCCCGGCATCCTTCCCGCCCGGGGCTGTGCCCGCCCGGCAGGCCCCGCCCACGGCGGCGCGCGCACCAATGGCAGGGCCGGGCGATGTTGACGGGGCGGGGCGTCCGCGCACGCGCGAAGCCTCGGGGAGCGCCCCCAGCGCCGGGGCGGCCGCGACTGTCGGCGACTTTCGGCGACTCGGCGGGCCCGGCCCGGGCACAGCGGAGGGCGGCGGGCCATCAGCCCTGCTCCTGCCCCTTCTTTTTTCCCCACGGATTGTTTTTTGTGGTTTTTTTTGCTGCCGCCCCGCGTTTTGAAAAACGACGAGCTCTCGTCGTCAGCTCTCCCGAGCTGCGGAAGCTGCGGCACGACACCGGCAGGGGGTAAGGGACGGCGGCGGGGAGCGGCCGGGGCCTGGGGAGGGCGGCGGGACGGGCCCGCCCCCAGCTGCAGAGAGCGAGCACTTGAAGGATTGCCCCCCCTCCCTTAGCGCGGGTGCGGGAGCTGGTCGGGGCTGGTTGCTGACGCTGGGGACCGGGCACCTGAGCAACCTGCCCGGAGCCTTCGTTTCGGCGGAAAACCCCTGTCCTGGTCCGGGGGGAAAAAAATAGCCCATTTCCTGGAAGCGGGAGGCAAACCCCCCTGCTCCCCACAACGGCCGCGCCGCCCGCGCGCGGGGGGTTCCGCATCGTTCTCGCTGCCAAACCCCCGTGACAGCCGGGCCAGCGGCCCCCGCTGCCTCCCGGGACCACCTTCTCTCGTGGCCGAAAAGCCACCACGAGACTCTGGTTTTGCAGCCTGGCACCGGAGCCAGCGCCGCATCCCCTGCCCGCTATTCCCCAAAGCCTGAAGCTGCCGGCTGGCTCGAAGTGACGCTGTGCTTGGTGTGGGTCCCTGTGCCCGCTCCCCCCTCCTTCCCCCCCGGGTTGGTTTTGGGTGCCAGGGGAAGGGAGAAGCATAAATAACATCAAACCGAGGGAAGGTTGCAGGGATGAGACAGACCAGATGAAGACTTTAAGGTCTTTAGCTGAGGTGTTAGACCCTGATAGTTTGTCCTGAAGAGTTTGTCCTGCTCACAACAGGTGGGAGAAACCACCTCTCTGGGTGGGATGAGAGGGCTGAATTTTGGTTGGTTGTGGAGGGGTTCGTTAGTTTCTTCAGCCAAGAGCTTGCTGGGCAGCACCAGCCCACCGGGTTTGGGTGGCACTGGGAGCACGGCGGTTTGAGGGAATTTCCCCGAGGCCCAGGGCTGCTAAAGTACCCCTGGGGCAGACGTTGCAGCTCCCATGCCCAGCACCCCAGGGATGGGTCTTGCCCAGCGACACCAGGAACACTCAGGCCCAGCCCTGTCCAGGTGCCAGAGAGCAATTGTGCCACAGGGAACCTCAACCCTCTCCCTCTTGTCCTTGCAGGATCTGTCCCATCCATTCCCTCCCCTTCACATGCACCCGGTGACGTGCCAAGGCATGGTGTGCTCCAGCCCTGTGCTAAGAGCTCAGGGGCAATGGAACCCCACCAAGGAAGATGGGCCTGGCAGCAAGCCAGACCCCCTGTGGCTGGCTAACCTCACAGGCACCCACATCGGCTTGCCCCCAATATCTGAGGACCCTGAGGACCGCTGCACCATCTGGGAAAATCTAGTGAGTCTGGTGGACTTTCAGTCCCCAGGCTTTCCCCTGACTGCTGAGGAGCTGTGTGAGTACATCGACATTCCCCGCACAGCCACCTCCTCCTCCACCACCATGATGCACCATGCCATGGCCGAGTCCTCTCAGCTCACAGGGAACATCAACTACAAGACCAACCCACATGTCAGGCCACCTTACTCCTATGCCACCCTCATCTGCATGGCAATGGAAGCCAGCAAGAAGCCCAAGATCACCCTCTCGGCCATCTGCAAGTGGATCAGTGACAACTTCTGCTACTTCCAACCTGCTGATCCCACCTGGCAGGTAGGAGATTTGCAACCCTCTTGCCTTGGTCCCTGTCCACACAGGGCTGGGCAGGGCTTTCCACAGCCTACACGCTGCAAAACAAGGTCCAATACTAGATCCCACTGGGAAGACGGCGGCACCGGCAGCTGGTGGGGAAGGGCTGGAACGGGAAAGAGTTTGGCTGGGCTCAAATGCCAGAGCTGCTGGGGTGACGGAGGAAAAGAGCCCTGCCGGGGGAGAGCCCGAGGTCATCTAGGGAGCTGCAAGGTACCCATTGGGCCCCCAGCCCCTGGGGCTCCTCTTGGTTCTGTGGCGAAGGCCTCTCAGTCCCTACCTTTCTGGAGCGTTGATGGGGTCCCGAGTGCCTCAGGGCTGAGCGCACGTGCAAGAAGTCACCACATCGAGCATCCCTGGGTGCTGAGGACCAGGCACAGGAGAGGCATGGAGATGCTGTTTGCTGGACAAGTCACTCATTGGGGAATTTCCCAGATGAAGCACTGCTGCTTTTTAAGCAGGGCACAGCGCTGGTCTCCTGGCCCTTCAGACGGGCCGAGGAGGCTCCATTGCTGGGACAGGCTGCTGAGACCTGTAGAGGGAAGACCAAGAGGGGTCAAATAGGGCTGCTGTCCCCAGCTAGCACAGGCATATCCCTGGCAGGGAGGGGACAGCCCCAGGCTTACCAGCTTTGGGGACAGCCTGAAGCCCTTCCCACAGCAGCTTTTCCCAGCCACCTTGGCTTGCTGCCTTTCTCTGTCACACGAGGTCACAAGAGGGCCACTCTGGCATATGAGGCTTTCTAGCAGGGGGCAGGGCAAGAGTGCCCTGAATGGCTCATCCTCCCACTTGGATTATTGCCAGCCCAAATCTGCAGTGTTCCTTTGATCCTGGGTGGCTGTGCTCACCCAGCCAGGGCTGGGCAAACACATTGCAAGCCCCCTGACCAGGAGTTGCCCACCTTCTCCCCAGGCAGATGGGCTCCCTGGAGCCCATCACTGTCAAGAGAGCCCCTCACGGACCCTCTTCCTCTCCAGGGCCACCTGGATTCCCCAGCCTCTCCTGTGCTGGGGGAACTATGCGAGCGCTTTGGGAGAAGGAGCTGGCTGCTTTGCTTGACTTTGGGAAGCCCAAAGCTGGGTTATTTACCCAGCAACCGAGTTTCCTGTCTGATTATTAGCTGCACTCAGGGTACATTCAGGGGATTTTCTAGAGGGCACATAGCCCGAGATGTCTTGGCATTGCCATTTCTGCTTTCTTTTCCCAAAGGGCCTTGCTGAAAACCTTCTGTTGCACCAGCCTCTTCACACAGGTAGGTCCCTCTCACGCCAGCAGACAAGCATTCAGCCTTGGGTTTTTTCTCTTTTGGACCTAGAGCTCCATCCGGCACAACCTCTGCATCAACAAGCGCTTCATCAAGGTGACCCGGGAGAAGAGCGAACCAGGGAGAGGAGCATTTTGGAAGCTCCACTCCCGATACGCCAACCGGTTCAAGAACAGAACCTTCAAAGAGTGGAGGATGCCACCAGTGCAGACGCAGCCAGGCTCCCCTGAAAGAGCCCAGCAAGAGGCAGGGCACATCATCAGCCCAGCTGCCTCAGCCTGCAGCTCCCGTAACAATCTCGAGATAAGCATGGAGCTGCAGCAGCTGCTGAAAGAGTTTGAAGAGTTTGAAAACAGCCAGAACTGGAATGCCATGGAGAATGAAGTGGGGCAGCAGCGCAAGCAGCCCATGTCAACGGCCAAGATGTCTCGACTTCCCAGCTCTGCTTCTGGGACCCAGGAAGAGCGGAGCGAGCTGACCGAGCTGAAGGGTGACACTGACTGGGAAGCTCTCCTGAGCAACCACCTGGACGAAGGAGACTTCTCTGTTCTTGGGGATCTGGAGCTCCCACCTCCCATCCAGCCCGTGACACTGCACCTGGACTGGACGGGACAAGGGCAGCACACAGCCTGTCCCCAAGAACAGGAGCAAGTCCTCACCAAACCTAACCACAACAACCCAGGCTTTGATGAAACCCTCATGGCCACAGCTTTCCTGGAGCGTGCCTGGCACAAGGAAACAAGCGATAACCTCTCCAACTTCATCCCCATTGACCAGGGGGCTGAAAACATCCAGGCCTCTTTGCCAGAGAGGGATGTCAGAGACTGTAACTTTCCGACCTTCTATTAACACTTCAGTAGAGATGGTAAATGGCAGGTGATGGACTAGATTAGATTAGATAGACTCTGGAGGGGTTTTGGGTGTGGGCCTAGATGTTTACATTGACAAACCTTTTTATTTCTTACAGTTCTATTCTCGTGTTTGGCGGATATGTTGAAGAACTGCACAGATACTTCTACACTTTACCTTTTTTCACGCAAGTTATTAATAAATTAAACAAAATAATGAAGACAAAAAAGTGGAGATGAAAAACCCCTTTTGCCTCCTTGTTTCCCTCCAGCACAGCCTGGCTCTGCCTGAGCTGCTGCCCTGCTTCCACACCCAGCCTCAGGACTTGGGAACCCTCATCCACTTCCACAGTGGCACAGCTATTCCCCATGGTGAAACCAAAGCACAAACCCACACCAGTGTGCCAATGGTTACACACCACCAGTACAACACCAGGCCAGCTGTGCCTGTGTCCTGAGTCCTGGGCGCTCCCAACCCAGGGAATAGCCTTCCTTGCCATTGCAGGGAGTTCCTGGGGGCAATGTGGTCTGAATGCCAGGGACAATCCCTCTGTCTGTGCCATGTCCCCACCCAGCCCTATAGATGCTACAAGAAGCCCAAAGGTGGCGAGAGGAGCTGCACAGAAGATGCAGGAAGAGTCTGCACCAGGCCAGTCCAGCCAAGGAACAGTTGGGCTGTACCAAGGGAGGGGCCAAAGCAGCACACACTCAGCTGCCAGCCTGGCCAGCACAGGCAGGGCAGGGTATGGCATGGCGGGGCTGGGGGCAGCAGGTTTGGGGAGCCTCATGGGGAGGGCAGGTGGGCTCAGGGGTGCGGGCTGGGGGCCAAGCTGGCTGCGGCCAGGCTGTGGGTACCTCTCTGTGCACACTACCAGGGGCAGGGCTGCCCCTTGGGATGAGAAGGAGGGAGAAGGGCACTGGAAGGGCAATCTGGAAAAGGCTGGCCTGGCCCCTGCTTGGGGGTCAAAAGACCAAACTGAAATCAGGAGTCTGACTCGTAAGGAGAAAACATTGTAGTCAGGTGCCTGGTGAGGTTTGGAACTGTTTAACAGATTCTTTCTTACAGTTCTGGTTATTAAGTGAATGCCAATCAGAATTTAACTCTCCTTCCAGTGAAAAAGCCTAAGTCATTGACTGGTATCTGCTAGACCCAAATCCTTAATAACAGAGATTAAGATGTACTTTACAGTGTTAGAAGACACCTTCTTTTGTGTACTTGTGGCCAAACAGAATCAAGTTTTCTTTGCCATTGAATGGGAAAATCCAACTCCAGGATGGAAGATGCAGGTTTCTCGGACCGTTCTCCCACAAGGATTATCCTGGCAAAGGAGCTGGAACAGTGGCATCATGAGTCTTAACCCAGTCACTTTTACTCCCAGTCTCTGGGACAGGAGAGCTGTATCCTGACAATTTGGTAACTATTGAACAAATTTGTTCCAGCAGGCCATATCTCTGAGATGAGACAGAGATGGAGCTTTGTATTGACATGAGCAGTCCAAGTGTTGTATGCTTGGCTAATCTTTTGTTTAAGGAAAAAGGAATACAATCCCAAGAGGCTGAGAGCCACCAGGAGGGAAGCCAACAGTACTAAGCAGTACCATTGACAACCTATTCAAAATGGACCCCAACTCCAATGGAGGGAAGAGCTGCACCTGTGGACTATTTAGCAAGGGAAGGAGAGATATACCTAGGAAATAAGGGCCTGAGTGCTCATTAATAAAAATATTATGTAGGCAGGAACCAAAGAATGTTGATGCCTTTGTTAAAATGTTTCAATAGCATAAAGCTTGGATGCGCAGGGAGCCAGCCTTTCGTGGGAACCATCCCTCTCCCTGCTTTGGCAAACTGGAATAAAGAAATAGAAATCCTTCACCGCGGTGTGTGAATTGGCGTTGCCCTCAAAGGGAGGAGCGCGCAGCCGAGACAACAGGTGGGGTCCGCAGCAATTTCCCGTCCATCTCTCCGCTCCACATCCCGTTTGCACCTGCCGACTGCGCACCGCGGGCGGCGTCAGGAGAAAAGCTGGAGGACGGGCGGCTCCGGGCGCAGCGGCACCGGCACAGCGGGGCCCGGAGCTCCCGGGGGAGTACCGGGGCTCTGGGGGCGCAGGGTGGGCAGTCCGGCAGCTCGCCCGCCCCCTGCACTGGCGCGGGGCATAGGGTGCCCGTTCCCCCCGGCCCTTCCTCCGCCGGCACCGCCCGCGGGTCCCAGCGCCCCGAGCCCCCGCCCACCCGGAGCCGCCGCCTCAGCTCTTACACCTGGGAGCGGCTCGGCCCAAGGGCGGCCGTCCGCCAGTGCAGCCCCGCGCAGAGAACCACAGACAACCCAGGCGCCTCCCCTGGCCCCGGCCCGGCCCAGGTGGGTGTCCCAGAGCCCTCCGCCCGCCCTTCGGGCCCGGCCGAGCCCCGCCCGGCCCCGCTGCCCGCACTGACCGCAGCTGCGCTCACTGTCCTCCCCCCACCCGGCCCCGCTGCCCGCACTGACCGCCCCCGCTCTGCTCCCTCCGCCGCTCCGGCCCCACAGCGAGAACGCCGCGGTCGCCCGGGGCGACGTCACGTGGCACTGCGGGGGCGGAGGCACGCGGCTCCTCCCGCGGCCCCGCCCCGTTGGCGCCCCCTCAGCCCGGCCCGCTGTGGGCGCGGGGCTCTGACAGACGCCGCGGTTTATTCCGTTCAATCGTTCAGAGCCCGCAGCCCCGGCGGTAGCGCCCGGCCCCGCGGGCATTCCGCCCGTGCCCCCCGCGCCAGCCGTGCGAGGAGGCGGGCAGGGAGAGGGGGAGGGACTTGCGCAGGGAATGAGGGAGCGGGGAGCGGGGTCGGGAATGGGTCGGGGAAGGTGAGTGTTCGTGGAAGGCACATGGACACAGAGCAGGGATGGTATTCAACTACTTGCCAGGCGCCTCCGCAGATTCAAGAGTCTTTATCCTTGAGGTACTCCGGAGAGACAGTTCTCGTCCTCTTGGGACTGGAGGCTTCATTCATGTCCCTCACAGCCACAGGACGAGGACTCCTCTCTGTGCTACGGTTCTTCCTCTTTCGATGCTTTTTTTTGAAGGAACTCTCCAGTTCTACCTACCTGTCCCACATGCTATCCCACAGCAGACTGGGAAAGTGAGAGTTGCTGCAGCACACGCTGACAGTGAAGCATACAAGGGAGACGAGGAGGAAGATCTAGACCAGGCTGTTGCCTCCTGACCCCATGAGACGCCAGTACAGGGTCAGAGCTTGAAAAGCTCCCTCCCACCCTATGCTGGCAGTCAGAGACTGCCCTGCTTCTCAGATCTGGAGCAAGCCCTGTGTGGTAGTTTTAATCTAGGCCTTCCTTGGTGACCAGTTTGTAAGCATGGAAGGGGCAGTGTTCCCAGTATTCCATATGATTTTTACGTAAATCAGGGTATAAATAAGAAGGGAGGAGAGGCCTTCGCTCTCTTCTCTTCCAGTGAGGTTCGGGAACAGTGGGTCCCTGCGTTGGTCTTGCTTATCTAAGGCTGAGGCCTGCAGCGTCCACTGTCCTGCCACGTGGAGGCTTGGAGAGTGCTGGCCGTGTCTGCCAATCTTGCTTTTTCTAAGGGACGTGGTGAGATTTGTTTTACTAGTTATTTTGCTAGTTCTTGGGTTTGATTGCGTATATCTGTTCAGTGTCCCTTTTTGTCCCCTTTTGTCCCTTTTTCCCCTTTCCCTATGCCTTCAGAGGGTGTTTGGATTCCCTTTTGCTGTGTACATAGCATCTTAACTGTATATAACCATAATATACGTAAATATATATATTTTTATATAAGTAGCTTGATTTTGGTTTCTTTAATTTTTTATAGGTTTTTTTTTTCTTTGCCCTAAGGGAAGAAGCAGTGGGGGAAGGGAATTGCTGCTGTGGGTTTGGGCATTTGGCAGGGAGCCAGGTCTGAACCATCAGACCCTGGCAGCCCTGAAGAACAGGAGAGCCAGCTGTGAGGACACACAGATGCTCAATGCAGCACCCCAAGGCTGCCATAGGCCTTGTTGCTGTGCAGGAACTGGGGAGCAGTGGCATTGCTTACCTGAACTTGCACCAGAGGCCTAGAGGTGGAGTCAGAGTGGATGGTGTCCAAGGGGTGGGACTGTGCATGGCAATCACTCCTGGGTGCCTTCTGCCAGGTTTCACCCTGCAGTTACTGACATAACGTACTCTAAAGTTTTCATGGCCAAGAAAAAAAAGAGGACCCAGAGAAAGGGAAGGAGAGATCTTCTTACCTGTGGATAAAATCCTCATTCCTAGCCTTCCAACCTCTCTTTTGTTACTCACAGACCTTTTTTTTTAGGACCCACAATTTCATTTGGAGGATCTAAACCCTCATTTGACACTCAGAAATCCTTTGCTGTGGTTCCAAAGTTATATTGACAGGATGGATTGAAAGCCTCACATTTCCTTTCCAAAGTCTTACTTTTGCCTTCAAAAGCAGCTATTTTTAGGCTACGAAGCTTCATTTTTAGTGTCCGAAGTCTCCATTTCAATTTGCAGTGTCTCCTTTGGGGTGTCCAAAGCAGTATTTTTCCTCTCCAAAGCCTTCTTTTGCACTCTAAACTGGTATTTTTATGATTTAGCCAGGTGTTTTTAGGGTCCAAGCCACATCTTGAATGTCCAAACACTCATCTTCAAGATTCAAAGCCCTCTCTTATGGCCCCAGGCCTCATTTATACTGTCAAAATCTTCACTTCCAGGCTTGAAAGAACATGGACCTGTTGGTTTGTCTCCAGAGAAGGCAGCAAAGTGGACTGGAGCTCCCTTCTTCAAAGACAGAGAGTTTGGGTTTTTCAGCGTGGAGAAGAGAAGGCTCCACAGACACCTTCCAGCACCTCCCAGCCCCTAAAGGGGCTCCAAAAGATCAGGGTTGTTGTACAAGGAGGTATGGAGTGACAGGACAAGGGGGAATGGTTTCAAACAGACAGAAGTTAGGTTTAGATTAGATTTGGGGAAAAATTCTTCCCTGCGAGGATGACGAGGCCCTGGCACAGGTTGTCTGGAGCAGCTGTGGCTGCCCCCTCCCTGGCAGTGTCCAAGGCCAGACAGGATGGGGCTTGGAGCCACCTGGTCTAGTGGAAGATGTCCCTACCCATGACAGGAGAGTTGGAACTAGATGATCTCTTAGGTTCCTTCCAACCCCAAAAAAATCTAGGATCCTATGACTCTATGATTGTATTATTTGATGACTTTTTAGGGTCCAGTGACTCATGGCTGCTTTGCTAGGAGAACAGGTCATGCCAGGAGCCTGCTCCGGCCTTGGCTCTCCACATACTCCAGCTTCCTGGTGGAGTTGTTGATGGTTGTCTTAGGGAGACAGCATTTCTGGATGGATTCTCTTTTAGGCATCCACAACACCTTGAGGCTGGCCAGGAGGTCACCTGGAGGGTGAAGTCACCAAGGTGTTCTCACCCCTGCTTCTTGAGCATGGGCACCTGAAACCACTTGTCCATGACCATGCACAGAGGGCTGCGGAACATGTCCAAGGATGGAGCCTCCACGGGCTTTCTGTGTAGCTTCCACTGGTGCTCAGCACCTGCACAGCACCCTTTACACTTCCCCTTACTGAACCCCAGGGGGTCTCTGTCAACCCATCTCTCCAGCCTGCCCAGGTCCCTCAGCATATCAGCACGATGCCCAGGCCTAAGCGTCACTCCTGCCAGTTTGGTGTTCTCTGGCAATTTGCTGAGCATGCCCTTTGCCCTAGCAGACAGACAATTAGTTAAGGAAGATGTTAAGCAGGATCAATCCCCGTGCTGACCTCTGGGAGATACCAGAGGTCTGACTCTGCACTAGACTTGGTGCCCAACCGTCCAGCCTGTTTCAGTCCCTTTCACTGCTGGCTCATCCAACCCACATCCCTTCAAATGACTTGAACTACATATATTAAAACAAGAGATTGTCAGATGGGCAGATGCAAGGAAACAGCTTTCAAAATACCATCATACAAACATCCCACACTGGGTATTTCCACCAATCACCCCAAAACCTAAGAAGGGAACAGTCTGTAAATTATTCGTGCAAGGACAACAAGCAGTTTTAATTCTGGCTTTGGCTCTTCTGCCCATTGATTCCAGATGAGTGTTTCCTCCTCTTCTTTGCTGACTGGTGGTAGTCTGTGATCTCCACAAACCGTCTGCGGAGATCATAGCCCTGCCGCAGTGATCTACCCTGTTCTCTCTGCCTTTGCAGTGATTGCTCCTGAGCAGCACTGGGTGCAGGAGCTCTCTGGCAGCTTCTTTTGGAGGGTTTTGAGTTTGTGCCATCCTGAGGAGTGTGGTCACGTCCTGGAGGACTAGTTTTCTTCCTTTTCCTGCCTGTTGAGTTGTCATAGTCGGTGCTATTGACAAACCGGCTACAGCGATCATTGCCCCACTGCAGAGATCTGCTCTGGGCCTTCTCCCTGGCACTCTTCCTCTGACAGCAAGTCAGTGTAGTCCTGTCAGGCAGACCCTGTGGTCCTGCAGAACCCGCCTGCTTACTGCTGCCCCCACACTCACTCAGGAAGGAATGGGCATAGGATGGTGTCAGTGAGGAAGCTGCCATTTCTCTCATTTTCAAATCAGAGCATCTGGAGAAAAAAAAAAGTGACCTCTGTTTAGGGCATTCCTTGCAGACTCCTCTGGGTTTCCGTAATTTTCTTGGAGTGATTTCTACAATAGAGAGAAGACTTTACCAAAGTCACCGGTGGGAAATTCAACTGGGGACTTCCCACCAGGTCTGCCCTTGTCAGAGCAAGTCCTTATCTCTATACCCTCCCTGGCCTCCATTTCACAGAATCCCAGAAAGGTTTGGTTTGGCAGGGTTCTTACATACCACCTAGTTCCAAACCCCCTACCATGAGCAGGGACATCTACTCCACCAGGTTGCTCCAAGCCATCCTTCCAGGGATGGGGCAGCCACAGTTTCTCTGGGTAACATATTTCAGCACCTTACCACCCTGACAGGGAAGAATTTCTTTCTAATACCTAATCTAAATCTTCTCTCTTTCACTTTGAAATTTATACCTCTTGTCCTATCACTGTATTCCCTGATAAAGAGTCCCTCCGTATCTTTCCTGGAAGCCCCTTTAAGTCCTCTTCTCTATGTGAACCAGTTTGAGAGGGCAGAAAGGGAGCAGTTTACATAGGACAGCAAGCCTAAAGCCCAACAAGGGAAGAGAAGGACTGGTGTGGGGTAATTCAGAAATGACAGCACTGAAGGATTCACTGAAGGAGGAATTGTTTCCTGTGGCCCTTCTCACACTCAGGAGGGTGAAAAGACAAACAGCGAATCCAGGAAAAGGAAACGTTTGAACATGTGACACTGGTTATTACCTGGCATAGAACAGCAAATAGGCTTGCTGCCTAAGAACTGCGTGGATG